TACGTAAATATAAAGCTTATTATTTAAACAAAACTCAGTGCGCAATAACTGAAATTGGCTGTGGGCCAATTTGTTTCTGTTTTGAAAATACATTTTTACAAATAATAAATGTGTAACACGCAAGAGTTGGGTGTATGTCGTGATTGCTTTCGTGACACGAAAACGCATTACTCAACGCGATGTGGCGATTCCTGGCCGTATGGAAGACGACTAAACTCCTGAGTACAGCAATTTGAGGGATACATGATGCAAACCAAACTAAGTCAAAGTGCTCTAGTCGAAAGTGTGACCCACAATCAGATCAGTTGGAAACTCCATGTCGACTGTGTAAATAATTTACGACACGGAGAAGACTAAAAAAAAAATTTTAATTTTCCTAAGATTTCCAAGATCTCGAGACAGCTATACATCCAGTTACACAGTAAAAAGGTCGCTAGCACAATCAACAATACTTTTTGGGGTAGGTAATGAGGCCTTCTGCCTGTTAAATGCATTTGCACAACTATTAAATACGTTATTTTACATGTATTCGAAATTATAGCGTAGGTAAATTAGTGAAGAGTAATATTATTGAAATTGAACATTTTCATCGAATCATACATAGAAAATGTAAAATTGATGACAAGCTTTCGACCTCGGTGTCTTTTTTCCAAGAAAAATTATGAAATAATGAAAACATGGTAATAAGTTATGCTCGAATAAAAGATACCCTGAACACAGCGCCGAGTTGTCAGTACAAAACAAGTATACATATGCATATGTATATACACAAACACACACATATACTCACACGCAAGACGCTTTTTGCGCACTTGATAATGCGGCTGTGCATTTTTCCATACAATGGAAAATGCATTTTTAAATAACATTGGCGTTTAATGACCGATTCCTATAACATTTCAACAGCTTGAATATGACAACCAAATGTCTGTATACGAAAGCGAAAGGCGTTACCAAAATTTGTGTCTTCAGATCTGATAAGCTCCAATATATGCTCATACAATCCATTTAGCTGTTTCATACATTTGCACATAAACATATTTTTTCTTTTTTCTATTTGACAAGTCGAGTTGCGGCTTTTCATGTTGCAGTGCGCAGCGCTGCGTGATTGTTTTCGAATTAAGGTGCGTGTCAAGCGTTAAAAGTGTAACTTGCATCATCCCTATTCCGAGCCACTTCGTATTTTCTTTACAGATGAAATAATGGTCTTTTCGAGAACACGGTCATATATCTTACCTAGCATGTGATTCTCCTTAGCGTCTTCACAGCGTTGCACCACTCGTATAACTCCACGTCCGGCAATTGGCGAGAATGTAACTATGCCGCCAATTCTGGCTATATGTGGAGGTATACGGGGATCTACTTCTGTGCCCAATGCTACTTCATTGCTGGAGGAGTCCGATGCCCCGCTGTCTCTATTGACCGGATTGTTGCCATTGCCATTTGAACGATCCTCGCCGTTTCCCCCTCCACTGTTATTGGAGATGTTTGTAATATCATTGCCGAAAGGACGCATGTTTGAGAATTGTTTTCTTTATTGTTATCGTTGTATTTTTACGGTCTACTATCAGCGCAACACAGGAGTACAAAATTGAATATGTAGATAGTATTTCACGCTAACTCCAACACACAAAAAAATTTTTTTTATAGATAACAGTGAATAAATGATATTATTTTTACGCACTCAACACATTAGAATAAATTGAAAAAGATTTTAAAATTTTTTGAAATAAAAACGCGAACTTTTCAACAACCAACTGAACGTCACTCTCTTGCGCATTGAAATATTGAAAATGCTTTTTACTTTCGGTTTTTATAGCACGGAAGAAGAAAGAAAAACTGCGCATAACAAAACAAATGAAAAATAAAATGGCATGAAAAGCAACAAATAATGAACCAGAAATTGGGACTTCTCCCGACAAGAAGTATCTCAAATACTCTTTCCGATGATATACATACTACTAACGATACTTTATAAATTGAGTGTTAAAAATCGTTGAGGGTATATAGGGACACAAGTCAGATTGAAACGGACACGTAGCGGTCATCCCCATTATGAAGGCTGCATTTTTTAGAAATATAAAGCGCTGTATAGTAAAAAATATATAAATACATGTGAATGTATGAAGGGGACTCCTTAAAATTTTGGATGCAATTTATGATTTTTGATATTGACCGTCGAGTTTCCAATGTTGCCCTGACATGCAACAAGCATAATATAAAGATTTATATGTACCATTAATGCATGAATCTGATTTATTGAATGTTTTCGAATTTTTTTAGTTGATCAGTTCCATAAATACTGCCATATCATTAGGACTTATTCGCGGAAAGGGTGTTATTGCATACTACGAAATCGTCTTGTCATCGTAAGAGCAATAGCCTCTGTTATAAACAGTATTTCGCTTGGTCTGCTCTGTTCTGACAACGGAAAAGTGTAAAAGTTCAACACACTGAGAGAGAGGGAAAATTTCAGTGCGAATTTGATGCGTATACGCTCAAAATATACTCTTTATGCATACATATATGCATATCTATGTATGTGTGCATACGTTCATATAGATCCGAACTTTGACGCATCTGATAAATTGCGATGTTCGGTTAACGGAACTATTGTAAAAAATTTCCGCACACTTGCTATATACTGATAATATATGCGTGTATGTCTATGACTGTACTCGTTTAAAAAAAATCTAGTTTTTGCGCATTAGTACTTCGAAAGTTACTCTTCTGATTTTTTACTCCCGGAACCCATTAAAAATCGGTAAAAGAAGGCAGCATGCCTTGCATGTTTTTGTGCATATGTAACAGGCAGATCAAATCATCCCTCACCCCATAAAGTATATATGTTCTAGTTCAGAACGACGAGCTTCGTCGATCTTGCTATATCCGTTTATCTGTCCGTCATTATCACAATCTCGTATGAAGATATCTTTCCAAAAAATATACTGTTTTTCTTAAAATTATGTTCAGAGGCTGACTAATCTTTTCTATAATTATCATTATCATCATTATCATTATCATTTATCATAACTTTACGATCCCTGAAATAAATAAATATATTAATGGATCGTCAAATAAAATATCTTTCACTAAAATTAATGCAGAAACGAAAAATGTATAAGGTGCTAGATCGCAGTAGATACGATTTAAGTGGTTTTCACCATGAACTGCCCTTCATCAACACATAGCCGATCATAAGACAATCAGAAATGATATATTTATAAACATTTGTAAAAAATAAGATTCACTATTAGATTTTAAGGCATTTAATGTTATTCAAGTTTTCAAATATTGAGTTGGCATTTAAAAATGGTTTAAGTGTCGCGTCTTTCGGCTTAAGGTATTAAAATCAGATTATCGTATGAAACCTCACACGTAATCGCCTATCATGTTTTGAGTCCACAAGCCCTGATAACATCTCTCCAAAGTTATAACGTTAAAGCACTTTCTTAGTTAGGCTAAAGTCCCATTCTCCTAGTCGTAGTTTCGTGTGATGAAGACGCTTTCTCTTGTATTTGTAGTTTTAGGAACTAAGAAGAAAAAACTGAAAGCCACAAATAAAGTCGGAAACATTGATCTCAGTACTTTTTTATATGATGTGTTGAAAGTTCAAAGGTTGAACTAAAAAGTAACAAGATAAATAGATTTCATAATATGTAATGTGCCTGGCACCAATTGTGATGCTTGTAAATGATGAGCTTGATGAAAAAATCCTGGAAAAAAGAATATTTTGACATACAAAAACTCATTTTCGGCCAATTCTTACTATAGTGCTTTAATAGTGCGATTTTAATAAGACATAGCACATAAGCAGCATAGTTTAAATAGTATATGCCTGGTTTCCATACAAGAAACAACTTTTCGAACGATCGCTCCTAAGGCAGCTAGCCATGTCCGTCTATGTATAAATGAGATGATCTCAGAAACTAAAAGAGCTAGAAACTTTACATTCTGAAGGTCTTCCTCGTGTCCGCTCACTATGAGTTTTTTCCAATCGATAGCTTGCCTCGTTTTCAATATTCTAATGGCATATTCTATTGCATAATAAGATCTACTCCAGAAAGATCGGTTTACACAGAAGTTATTAAAGAAAACATTGGCAAACACATATATTCATATGCGTAGCCTTGAATTCTAAAAACAGAATTGTAATTGCGATTGTGTTGTAAGTTTCATTGTGAGGTTATGCTGCTAATTTAGTTAATTGTTTCCGTTTAAATCCAATTTCTATAATGGCTGAAAATTATGAGGCAATAAAAAGCAATTCGGCAGGTTGATGGCGCTAACGAGTTCGACACAGGCTGAGAAAAATAATATATATTTTTTCAAATTTATATTTAATGCCTTATTCATTAAATATGATTAAGGAAAAACGCTTAAATTTCCACTGAAAACACAGCCCGATCTCCATCTGGTGTTAATAGATGAAGTATAAGGGTATCCCCTAGTCGGGCACTCTCGACTACAGCACTCTTACATTTTTACATGGTATACTTTCGGTGGCTCGTATTCCGATGAATGTGAGAAGTAGACTGTGGAGCGGCTTATGTAGTTGGTATATGCTGTTGGCAAAATTTTAGCAGAGGGTGTTAACATGTCGTTATCACCCTTACCTGTGATCAAACCTAAATTGTTTGTTTTATCCAAATATTGGTATAAAATCCCCGTAGTTAGGGCACTTACCATGCAACATATGTTGTATGCGTTTAAGCTTCTTAAAATCGGTAATCAGCTACACGGGCACTGATAAAAAATGCAGGCTCCCCTCTAAAAAACGATACAAAATACTAGATTTTAAAAATAAAATAAAATAAAATAATCTCATCATAGAAAAATCTAAATCTAAAAATCAAAATTCACGCGAAGATAGTTGCGTCGGAATATGCTAGTGTGTATATATATATATATTTTTCCAGCTTTATGTAAAAAAATGTAAAAGTATTATATATATTGATATATCATATATTGAAATTGTATTAATTTGACAAATTTTTTAACATACAAATTCATAGTACTCAAATCAAAAATGCCCATAGATTCACTAACACATTTACAGTCAAATACGTAACAAACTTTATATTTAAAAACTCTCTATTGCATTGCGGAGCCCTGTGCATGTTGTAGCCCTGTGCATAAATACAACATGATAATACTCAAGGCTTGAACTCGTTCCTCGGACCTAGTTTTTGTGCAGGCCATTGATTTCCATGGCGACTCTGATTCCATTCGGAGTGTGGTCGCCTTTTCAGCATAATTTAGCATCGTGTTTCCCTTCGATTCCGCATCTAATGCACCCTTCAGTTTTGTTAGCTTCATTAGAAATATAAACATTTTACTACAAATGAGACTACATTGAACTAAAAAAAGACTGACCAGCTCATTTATTTTCGTCACTCGCTCGTTGGGGGGGACTTCCGCATAAAGAAGCTTACTGTAACTCTTAGCCAGGTTCATCAGATCCTCGTTTCGGGAATGTCTAATGATTGGATCAGTGATGAGAACAACTTGGTCCAAAGTTAATGCTGTAAACTCCGGGGGAAGAGCCTCTAAATGGGGCGTGATCATCGCGAAGGGATTTGGATTTGAATGGTGATGTTGCGAGGTTTCTTCTGTTATCGACGACTTTCTAAATCGAGTAGGCATGCATTTAATTTTATCTCGGATTAACTCTGCAGGTTAACTTACCGCGAAGGCGTATGCTGCGGACTCGGCGGTAGACTTTTTGAATTAACCTGTGAGCTGTTTCCTGAAAGTGAGGAGACTATGCCTGGTATGTCCAGATTGCTGGCTTGTCGCTTTATTCCCTGTGTCAGCATACCCGTTAGACTAGCTCTATGCTCGTCCATATTAGCATTGTGCGTTTGCTCAATGCTGCCTTGCGACGAGGTCTCCTCCGTTGTCATAGAGCTTAAAGACTTGGGCTCCAAAATATCAATATATTCGGCCTGTGTGACTGTAAACTCTGGCTTATTGAATGTTACTGGAGGGGCGAAGAGAGTGTTTGGTATCGACCCAGAGAAGTCGACTGGACCACAAACGGTGGCGCTCTGACATTTGGCAATACACTTTTTGTGGCAGCACATGGTACAGTCCTTACACTGCATTGCATCCTTTAGCCAGATTTTCTTGCCACAAAAATCACACTGCGTAGCACGGTGAAAATGAGTACGTATAAAGTTATGGGCCTTCGATGCAGCCATTGTACTAGCCACACCAGGAACTGAATAATCGCCACAAATGTTTGAAGATTTCAATGACACCGTCTCCCCGCTGTTTTCATCCTGCACTTTATCATTTGCAGCTGATTGGCTAAAATATGTACAATACACATGTTATGTAATGCAGTTTATATACAAATTATAAAAATATACCTGGCTGGAGACTGGGACTTGGTAGTACTCTTGACTGTGCTCTCACTCGCAGTAGCATTTGGATTTCCATTCCATAAAAATCCAAACAAAATATCTCCGAAACACAGGTTGGGATTGAACCCAGATTGAGTGGACAACGGATGTGCTTTTCTGTGGATCCAACCAAAATTTTAAGAAAGGCATAAGCCATCGAGAATTTCTAACAAATATTGTACTTACACTGGCAAAAGCGTTGGCGGATTTAAAGCTATCTGCTTTAGGGATTGATTCAGGCTAGTCTCGCTGCATTCGACTAATATCTGACCGACATGTAAGTTGTAATACCCCAACAGTATGCTCTCACCTGCGCACTTCCCAAACACACATACGTTTAGAAAGCGACTCTTAGCATCCAGCTGAAAATTGCACATATCATCCATGCGTATAAGAGGGCTAAAGGTGCAATCGATGGTCGAATGTTGATAGAAATAGTTGACTTCATCGAGTGGCTTGTCGCTCACACTAGGTACCTTATCATCATTCGGGCAGGGCATTTTTGAAGGAGTCTCGTCCAATTTGGTTTTATCTTTGTCCTTTTGACTGTCACCGCTTTCACGGCTGATGGTTTTCTTGATGGCTTTTGCAATTATGTTTGATTTTTTTGGGGAGTTCGTTAGAGTAGAACTCAGACTAGACTCAGTGTTGCGACTATGACCAGCCTTCACTACTAAATGCTTGGGAATCATCTCGGTCTCGTCAGAGTCGTGTTTAAAAGCTACAGGAATGTCGCACAAATCGTCATATTTCTCTAGATCCTCCAAAATAGCATAGTTACGTATGATTCCGGGAATGATACGCTCGATGCGCAGGTAGCAGACTGTGGACTGTAGGTTCTTCACAACCTTCGCAATTTGTTGAATAGTTGTTACCTGTTTGCCCTCAATAGAAACAAGCGCATCACCAGACAACAGATTAGCCTTGCAGGCTGGCGTGTTCGGCAGAATAGACTCGATCTTCACCACCTGACTGCTCCTTTGTTTAAACACAATACCTATCTGTTGATTCTTTGCCTTGTGTATAACCACATCCATGGAGATTAACACGTGTCGGTTATCTTTCTGATGCGCTTCAATGAAAGGCACTGGCGCCAGCGTTATAGTACAGTATATGCTGCTGGTTCCCGGCCAGCCCATCAGCCGTGACAACTCTGCCACACGTACGGTAAGATCGCCATTCGGCTGTATGTCACAGTCACTTGTCTCTTCATCCGCCGCCCAATGGAAGAAGGGTTTGTAACGCAGCTTATAGTTGGGTAGGGTATGTTTGCGGCGCACTGCTTTGCGTATTTGATTTGATATAAGATTCGTAATGTTAGATTGCATTTGGCGCCCTTGGTACTTTGACTCGATAACTAAGTTAAGTTCCGGGTCACCTAAGAAGCTGAGGGACCAGTGAGTATATGGCTTCCGAGTAAACTGAAGCCGTGCCATGCCAGACAGTTGTGTTACTAATAATGAAAATCAAATTCAACATCCATAAACTCAGTAACTACTGCTTGTATACCATACCTTTTAGCATTATGGAACCCTTTTTGCCTAGTACCATGTCCGCATCAATCGATGTAGAGAAGTTTCCGATATAGTTAATATCCAGTAACAAGTCTAAGTTCTCAATGCGCTGCTCTGCGTCGTCAAGATGAACGTTATGCACCGAAAGCGATCTGATGTTTGGAAACTGGTCTCCCAGCTCAAGTTCTCTAATCTAGAAAAGAATTGCATTAGAATTCCATATTGTTTAATGACTTAAGCTTATTAACTGCACCGTTAGCTTGTCCAGCAATTTGCCTGTTGTGGTTTTTGTAATCAGTTCATCCAGTTCAATGGAAAGCTTTCGATAAAACCATTTTCGCACGCGATTCGAGTTCTTAAACTCATGAAACAAGAACTGCATAACAAAATTCAATGATATTAACGTCGACGAGCCCTGATCGCTTTTTTGATGCATCTCGAAGTTTCCACCTTCGTTTTGTGCCGTATTCAAATTACGGGCGGTTTGTTTGATGTTCTAAAAAGGAATCAATGTTTAGCTGTTATTTCCGAATAAATACATACATACATACATAATGGAAACACGATTCACAATCAACTTACCAGGGGTAAGGTGTATCTGGCATTAATCTGTTTTTGTTCCTCGCTCTCATCCGGTAAATTTGAAAATTTTATAAAAAGCAAATACTGAAGCAATATCATAATTACTCCGCCGATTAGCAGGAATATTAAACAGAGCAACAACACATTAGAAAAGGGTATCTCCATACTGGAACTAACGTATTTTACGTCTGTTAGTTAAGTTGCAGGAAATTTTCTGCCGAATAAATATTTGTTCCCAGCTTATTAAGTGCGTGTTTCAAATCAACTTGCAGTCTTTTTAAGTACGACTAGATATCTGCATGTATATATAAGATTTACGCCTATATCAGACATCGTCAATGTGTTGACCTTTTCACAATATGAGTAAAAGTGCTAGCTAACCACTTCGTCAATTTGAATATTGGCGTTTTTCACTTGATATTGATATGTTTTTGTCAAATTCTTGTCCCACAAATAGTGAATCTCGATGTTTCTTAGTGTAATACTGAATGCGCTTATATAAAATCAATACTCTTTCTTCCTACCGCGCATGACAGCTAGTCAGCTGGTTTTTATACCATATTCCAAATATTTCGTTACAATGCTCACAGCTGATGAGACTTGCTGGGATGCAAATGACTCACAAAAATGTGCAAGGGCATTTTCGTAATGACACGTAGTATTTGTTTTATAAATATGTAATGTACGGGGTTACGTAGTCATAGAACTAAGGTATTCGCACATATCAATAAAAGATTGTAAAATAGTCACTCAAAGCACGACGAAATGAATAAAAAAGATAATTATTACTTTATGCAAAATATTTAAAAAGATTTAGAAACATTTTTATTTAACGGATTTAAAAGTCTTTTTGTACCCTAAACCCATTAAAAATGGGTAATCAGGGTATATTGTATTTGTGCAAATGTATGTAACAGGCAGAAGGAAGCATCTCCGACCCCATAAAGTATATATATTCTTGATCAGCATCAACAGCCGAGTCGATCTAGCCATGTCCGTCTGTATGTCCGTTTATCCGTATGTATGAACGCAAGGATCTCAGAACCTATAAAAGCTATAGACTTTAGCTGTAAGTCCTCCTAGTGCCCGCGCAGATCGAGTTTGTTTCCGATATTCGATAACTTGCCCCGTTTCCAAGTAATGGATAAAAATCGATATCGAAATCCTGTTTTTTGAGCAATTTTGGTAAATAATAAGAGCTAGACTCACCAAACTTGACATGTAGCTTCTAGAATAGTACATATGTATATGTCAAGTATCTTTCATTTTATACCTATCGCCACCTCCCCGCTACCACCTCAAAGCTATAAATCAAGTTAATTATCCAACTTGTATTGCCCATATTTATATGCAATTGCATTTTTGAGAATACACAAATATTCTTTATTCTATTCTACAATAAGATGTACTTTCGAAAATTTCATTAAGATCGGTTAAGAAACACAACAGTTATGCGCGCCCGTGTTAGCAGCATAGCTGCTGTGCAAATTCCAAGAATTTCTGTATACACACACATTCATGCGCGTCTGCTTTGAATTCTATCAACAGCATTGCAATTGCGATTGTATTGTTTTCTGTGCTTTTATTTTAGTTTTTTTTTTTCTCGTTAAAGCTCAGTTATTGGTGTGGCCCTTGAGTAGGGCAGCGGCAAATGGTGCGGTTAGTTGCGAGTTCGTCGAACCCTGCCAAGAGAACAATTTTTTTTTCTTTTCATTTTTATTTATTACTACTGAATCTGCGCGTAGCGGGATCTGCATTTGGTGTTGGAAGAAGAGGGTTCAGGGTATCCCCTAGTCGGGAGCTCCCGACTAGAACCTCTTACTTGTTAAACTAATACATATGTAAAATTATTATTTAGAATTCCATTACCAACATTTTTTTTTTGTATCTGATCATCATTTGATTTTCTTACATATATTACAAATTTTGGTCTTGTGAATTTCAAAAGCTTAAAGGCATTTACAAAATCATTGATTTCTTATCGATTTCAGGGAACGTAGGAGAAATAAATATAGTTAATTACGGTCAATATGGGCGTGCTACACGGCATACCGTAAGGACAATTGGTTAACCTAGATATTTCATGCTGCCAACAGGAAAGAAAATGAAGGCAAAATGAGTCGAGTGGCGTGATTACGACAAGTCAGTTAGAATTTAATAGAGATGACAGAAGTGTAATATTGAAAATAAATGTAGACGCAAAAATAGAAATAAAAATGATGTGTGGTGACTGATAAAAAGTGCCTAATGAAGAGGGGCATATGGCCCACTTATAAATCACATGAAAAAATAAAATGTAATGCTTAATTTGTAGCAGTTTGTTCGAAAGTGTAACCGCAGCTGATAATGCATATGTGGAAATGAACTTAGTGACAACAACTTATTCGTTTATGACTGACTTTAGCATTGTTGGATAAAAAGACTTTTTTGCTTTTCTTAAGATCATATCATCTACTTGCTGTGGCTCTAAATCTAACTCTTGCGGTATTCCCGGCTCCTAGTGAACGTGGCTAACAGATTTGATCACTTGCTTGACGCAAGTATACACGAGTAACGTCTCTAGCATCGGTAGCTTGGATAGGTATTGACTTCGTACGAACGGACGTACAGGTATGACTTGTATTGCTCAAAACCTTTAGACAAGATTAATAAAGCGCCACATTGGGGCCCATAGTAAGAAAATGTTGCGTTGATTGTAAGTTAGTAATTTTCAGGCATTCATTTAGTTTAGTTTTTTTTTATTATGTAATTCCTTTACTTTGTGTAAAATAAGAAAGTATTAATAGGTTTTATTAACAAATTTGTTGAAGGCAGGTATTTATGTTATATGTTTGTGTATATCTTGTATATAAATTACAAGTCATTTTCATAATTAATAATTATTAAATTTACTTCAGTTATCATTTACTCTAGCTTTTCTTAATATTATATTTAATATTTAAACTGCATTATTACTTAGTGTACTCAGTTAAGATAATTTATATATGAAGGTATATGTATTATAATGTATTTTTTTTACCATTTTACATTAATATATCTTTGCTTGTAAAAAATTAATAGCTGATAATTTTAGATTTCTCATGTGACTTCCAATCCAGCCTGAAATTAAACAACCCAAATTTACAATTATAATAAAAATAACCGCTTCATAACATCTTAATACATCGACCCATCAGATGAGCAACAACACTTGAAAACAAGAGTGCTCTAGTCGAAAGTACCCCTCCACCGTCGAGCTGCCGTAATATACGTCTGAATATCCTTTATTACCTATGTACATACGTAAAACACTCATACACTCACACACAAGCACTTAAACTCCCACACAAGCACATACGCTGTAGGCTGCATGCTTTATGCAGCGATTGTATTGCTCCTTCTTCCAAAAGCTCCACACGAGGCACAATTTTTGAGGGACAGGGAAATATTCTTAATCTGTGTATACTATACGAGGACATACCAAATTTGTAGTCTCTACTTCTTATAATTTCCGAAATATGGAAGTGAAAGGATATACAAAATAAATAAATATACAAAATCGCTCTGCATAAAATATACAATAATATACCTTGAAATACATTTAAACAATATATAGGATAGACTCACAGACAGACGGACATGGATAAATCAAAGAAAGTATGAATACTTGTTTTTATATACCAGATGCCTAGATCGGCTGACCTCACTTTCCTGATAAGGAATTCCCACTGCCTGTTACATACACTTCCACAAAACTATCAACTATCATTTTCAATGGGTACAGGATATAACAAGTGAAAGGTTCTAGTCGGGAGCTCCGACTAGGGGATACCCTGAACCCTCTTATTCCAACCCCAAATGCAGCTCGCACTATGCGCTCGTTTGCTTTAGTACTAATCAAAATAAATTTAAAAAAAAAATAGTTCCCTCAGTAGGGTTCGAGCTCGTAACTGACCACGCTACGTTCCGCCGCTTCTACTCAATAGCCACACCAATAATTAATTTAATTAAAATAGCAGCACAGAAAACAATACAATCGCAATTGCAATGATGTTGATAGAATTCAAAGCAAACGCGCATGAATGTGTGTGTGTACATGTATACAGAAATTCTTGGAATTTGCGCTTGCTGCTGCACGTGTTTGCAGGCCAAAACACATTTCCTTTCGTGTTTCTTAACCGATCTTGATGAAATTTTCGAAAGTACATCTTATTTTCCCATAGAATATTTGTGTATTCTCAAAAGTCTATTGCATTTAAATTGTGGCTTATATTGTGGGCAGCATAAATTGGTTTATTTACTTGATTTATAGCTTTGCGGTGGCAGCGGAGAGGTGGCGATAGCTATAAAATGAAAGATACTTGACATATACATATGTACTATTCTAGAAGCTACATGTCAAGTTTGGTGAGTCTAGCTCTTATTATTTACCAAAATTGCTCAAAAAACAGGATTTCGATATCGATTTTTATCCATTACTTGGAAACGGGGCAAGTTATCGAATATCGGAAACAAACTCGATCTGCGCGGGCACTAGGAGGACTTACAGCTAAAGTCTATAGCTCTTATAGGTTCTGAGATCCTTGCGCTCATACATACGGACAAACGGACATACAGACGGACATGGCTAGATCGACTCGGCTGTTGATGCTGATCAAGAATATATATACTTTATGGAGTCGGAGATGCTTCTTTGTGCCTGTTACATACATTTGCACAAATACATGATACCCTTTTTACCCATTTTTAATGGAAATTCTTTATAATGCATACAATTAGATTGACTATTAGTGCAAAACGTGTTATATGTACTGGAACTTGGAAGAACAAACCGAACACAAGGATGTCAAATATGCATGTTAAGATATTTAAGTACTAATTGGTTTTTCGCATGACAAGAAGGGGCATGGACGTTGCTCTTATGGTGGGCAACCAACTACAAGATGAATGAATCGGAGACCTTAAAAGCGACTCTTAAATACTTAAGAAAATTCTATTGAGATCTGGATTGACAAAGCCTTGCTTATGAGATATTGTTGTCGAAGTTTATCCCAACAATAGGCGTCTCTCATACACTTATAAAAGAGTTCACAGCTGGCAAATAAGCGGCTAAAAAAAGTTTACAAACTAGGCCAATAGTAAATTACTTAAAACATAAGAAAAAGGTCCAGGGACAAAACAAATTTCAAATTTTTACAATTTTTTTTATAGTTATCAATTTTGTACTTAATAGGTTGATTTTTAATTTTTATTTATTTATTTTTTCTCTTTTTTTGGCAATTAGGTGACTGCAAATATTCGCAGGTTGATTTAATTGTACTAATGTTATTATAAAGCCGATAGCGAGCGAACTGTGAATTCGGATGCCTATGTACATACATACAAACATACATTGTAGATACTAAGGTGTGAATATTAAATCACGGATCGACGTAAAACTTATTAAAATTATAAAAAAAAAAAATAAAAAAAAACAAATAATAAATAATAAATAATAGCTTTGGGAGGTGTGTTGT